GACAGAAAATATTTGCTATTTCATCTGAAATAATTATGTGAATTGTTTTGGTTTGCCACCCTTTCTGCCCTTTGTGTATTATTACATTACTGTTCAACTAATTGAAGTTCAGTAAACTAGACTCCTACAATATATTAAATAGATCAGATCATAGTGCTGTTCTCTAACACTGGGAAATTATGCCCTTTATATTGACTTGGAAAAACTCACCAATTCCCAACTATTAACCCATTCAATAAAGGATGAAAAGCAGTTTGGTTGTTTTATCTAGAGCCAGGGGAGAACTCAAAAGAAAAATATCTCCTCAATATTTTCCTTGAAGATTTCTCTCATTTGTAATCACAATTACACACTCTCAAACCTGTGAGGCATTTTTAAAAAACGGAGAGAGGTCTGGCTTTACACTTGATACTCTTAATGATATTTTTTACACTTGGTACTATTAATAATATTCATACCCTATTTGTGAAAAGGACATAGGAAACAAATATACCATTGCTATGCATTATTAACATAGGAAACATTCAAACACTTTTAGGAATTCTAGGTTGCCTCTGTGTCTAGAAACAAGACACAACTGGGGTGAAACACAAAACTAGCCATGGTGGCTTTAGGACCACTTTGCAGTGTCAGTCTCCATGGCAGCAAAGTTATTACTCAAAAGCCATGTTTGAGAAAAAGGATTTGTAAGGGTACAGGGCTTGGGAATATATTTTACTTGAATATTCTTCAAAAACAACAAGGAGCTCTATGGCACCTTAAAAACAGATTCATTTGGAAAACAATGAGTAGTCTGTGGCACCTTCGGCTACATCTACACTATGACTTTTGCCGCAAGAGCTTATGCAAATGAAGCATGGATTAGCATTTTCTCGCACTTCATTTGCATACTATCTTTTGATCCGTTTTTGCACTAGAGGTTTTTGCACAAAAACAGGCAGTGTGGATGTTTCCTTTTTGCACAAGATCCTTATGCCTCAAAAAAGGAGATATACAGGATCTTGTGCAAAAGAGGTTTTTTGCGCAAAATGGTCCTGTCTACGCTGCACAAAAAGCCTCTTCCACAAAAAGCATTGTCAGAGAATATGCAAATGACAGCACAACAAATGCTAATGAGCACTTCATTTACATTGTCTCTGCCGACAAAAGGCTGCGGTGTAGACATAGCCTTGGAGTGGAAATGGAGTCACATAGCTCAGGCGCCAGGAAGGTTCACTGTAAGCTGTGTGCCCGCACAGGAACACAGCCCTTTTCTAATCCCCAGACAAAAATTCAGAGCTCCTCACGCAGGCAGGGAGCTCAGATGATTGGCTGGGGAAGCGGTAGAGAGGCTCTCGCCCTCTCAGAGAAGCAGAAGCTATAAATGGAGAAGCTGGTTCCAGCCTCTTCTCCAGGGCTGGGCAAAAGATGATCGTTGGCAGTGAGAGCCTTCGGCTGGACCCACTTGGTACTCCAGAAAGCCAGGTGCAGGGCCACATGAGTGTTTGTGAACCCTGAAGGTAGGGAAGACAGGCTTCTTATGCTGCTCCCACCCCTGATTGGCTGGTTTCGTCCAATAGCAGCTGCCTGTTTGCAGGATAGGCAGCACGCAAAGTGACCCTCATCCCCTGGGCTCACAGCATTCAATTTAGAACAATAAATGTGGCTCCTGCAACTCCCCTGAGTACATACAGCGGCCAGAAAGCAGGGGCTCTGGCTACGGAACCTGTTGGGCTGCTGGCTTGGAGCCAGGTAAGGTCTCTCAGCCAGAGCCTGAGTCTGGCACCCCAGCACCTCCTTCTCTTCCCCATCCCTCGGCCCCCTTCTGCCCTCCTACCTCATGTAACCCAAACCTTCTGCACCATTGCTTCAGCCCCCATACACCTTCCCAGACACTGTATCCCCTCCTATATCCCTTCTCAGGTCACAACTCCCTCTCGGACCTTTCACCCCAATCTGCTGTCCCTGGTTACAGTCCAAATCCCTGCACCATCTCTTGCACTCCTGCCCAGATCACAACCCCCTCCCGGCCTTGCACTCCCTCCTCACCCCAGTCAGTTGCCCAGGTCATGATCCCCTACTTCACCCAAACTCTGTCCCAGATCCCACTCCCCAGTCCTTTACCCCTTCTGCACCCAATCTCTACCCCAGACTCCTGGACTTCCTTTATTAATATAAAGGAAGAGTGCAGCCCTTGAACACTTACCAAATGCTTGGAGTACCCCCCCCCCATCAAAAAAAATATTGCCTACTGCTGTGTTAATGTCTTATGGTAAGAAAGAAAAAAATCATTTTAACAGCATTTTTTTTTTTAGTGTTGCAGGTATCTAAAACTCGGATCTTAATGATTTTTAATGCCTGTGTTACTAATTAATACACGGTAAACTGTATTGAGGCCAGGGTAGTGTTCATTTTCTTTTTATTTGAGTTCATATTAAATAATCATAAGCAGTGCTCCTTGTTAATATATTGCTCCTTGTTTTAATATATTTTCTTTCACACCTATGAACCATTTATATCTATCATTTTTGTTTGTATGGTGCGTACACCTACACATACTAAATATTGGTGTTGCACATAAGAAAGTTCAACCTGCCCCAAAGAAAATTCAACCCACTTAAGGATGGAAAATCTTAGAGGAGACACTGGCCACCAGGTGTACCCTGGCATCCTCTGGGATAGTGTTCCTGAGTACTGGTAGTTTAACTTTCTGTGGAAAGTCACAGAAAGCTTTTATGTCCAGGGTGGCCAGTCACATACCACACCTCAGATACACTCACCCAGGAACCTTCCCCTGCTTTTGACATCTGCACTTCTACATCAAAAGCTATGAAGGCGACACATCCAGCCCACTTCATTAACACTGGTCCTCGCGTTGAAAGGTATTTCTTTTGCTGTTATACATATTTTGGAGTCTGTTATTTCTACTCCAACTCATCTGATGAAGTGGGTTTTACTCATGAAAGCTCAGGATCCTATATAATTTTGTTAGTCTCTAAAGTGCCACATGATTAATTGTTATTTTTAAAGTTACAGGCTACCGGCTCCCCCTCTGAGATTTATTTGGGCATACGCTTTCATGGATAAAAACCACTTTATCTGATGCATGGATCTGAAAAAGTGGTTTTTACCCACGAGAGCTTATGCCCAAATAAATCTACTAGTCTTTAAGGTGCCCTGGGACTCATTTATGCAAATACAGACTAACATGGCCACCCATTTGAAACCTGAATATTCTTAGCAAAGGTGATTAAAAATTAGGATTTCACCTTTAAAAATTGGTCAGCCTGTTAAAAATCCAGTTCACAAAGCCAGGTTGTACAAACTGCAAATAATCTTATTCTTTGTGAAAAATCAGCCAGGCTGCAAAAAGGCTTCTATACAAACATTCTTAGCTTATATTAAGAACTAGGCAGATAAGGTTTTCTTTTCCCGACTATTTAACAACTAATCCATTTTGGAGACAAAGAGTATCTACAGTGTGTCCTCCTATCACCCCACATATTAATGAGATTTTTCTTTGGCAACATCTCGATTAATCAAAATACTAATGACTATAATTTGCAAGACCTCTGTATCTGATACCACGTCTTGACACCCAAACATAACTTTTCAATGTTATACATTCATAACTATGTTACATATTTTTGTACTCAAAAATATGTATATTAACAGCCACAGCAATAGGCTTATTTATGGGAACAAACCTTTTCATTACTATGAGTCAATGTTTCAGGGCTGGATGAAGAAGGTAAAGTGGTTCCATATGTATGAATCCTGCTTAACTCAGAAACATTGGTTTGTTCTGCAGTGCCTTACAAACTTTATCAGTAGAAGGCTGGTGCTAAGTTTTTGCTCCTAGGCAACAAACAGTTGAAAGAGGAAATTTGGTTTAATATTGTATTGATTACATAAAGACAGTTGCTATATGTTGTTACATTATTTATGTGAGGACATGGAGGTCATATAGAATCTTCCAATTTTTTAGACCTTTCTAACCTATATTTTGTCAAGTAAGAAATTTATCTTTGTTTAAAGATAAATGGAAATGATTTTTACACACACATTGTAGCCTTGCCTATTTATTGGATAGTAGAGAAAAAAAACATAGGAAGATCTAATGACTGGCACTGAAGCTTAAGAAATCTGAACTTTAAATAAAGTACACATATTGAAAATGAAAGATAATGAACTGTTGGAGCAACTTACCAAGGGATGTGGTGGATTCTCCAAGAAAATGTGTTCTAGTTCAACCAAAATACATGATGTAGGAATCACTTATCACAGTCCTGTAGCTTGTGCTATTCAGGAGGTGAGACTATATGATGAGATCATAGTGGTCCTTTTTCATATTTAAATTCATGAATTTGTTTGATTACCAAAAATTCCAAAAGTCATAAAATTCTGAAATTCTTCAGTTTGTTAATCTGCATTTTTTTCTGCTTTAGGTTACTGAAGTTGTTGCTTGAGCTTTTGGGACTTTCCAGCAAGCAATGGACTAGTGACATCATTAGCACCCCTAGAATATGAGTCTACTTGTGAGGAAATGGTAAGTCAGCTTTTCTTCAATACTGAGCGGGTCTTTGTTTGTTTTCCTTAATATTCTTATTTTGTATCTTGTAGGTATAGATCCACTCAATGTTGAAGAACAGCTGACTTACGTTTTTCTTTTAGGCAGACTAAACTCCCTCCTCCATCACTGACAGAGGTGATACTAACATCCCCAGGTTACTGAATTTTGGAATGTCTGAGCATGAATAGGAAGTCAAGAAAGCCCATTGCAGCAGCTTGGATATCTCAAAACTGAAAGGAAAAAAACAAAAACAAAAAACCCCTAGCTAAACAAGTGAAGAATTTACGGAAACGTATGACTATTTTTGGAAGTACTTTTGTCCACAGTGGGAGTTTATTCATTCACGATGGTAAGTGACAAATTTTCCAGTTCTTAAAACTTTTAGAAATTGAGTTTTATCACGTATGCTAGAATCATAAAGCATATAAGGAAGTACCAAATAAGCATGAACTGTCAGCAAGAACTAATCTGTGAGATTGCACAACACATATTGGCACAATATAAGATGCAATATTGTTGCTTAATCAGTAGGGTTGTCAATTTTTTAAAATTAACCATAATTAATCACACAATTAACAAGTAATTGGGATTAATCATTCAATTAATTGCACTGCTAAGCAGTAATAGAACACCATTTACTTAATATTTTTGGACATTTTCTACATTTTCAAATATATTGATTTCAATTACAACAGAGAACATAAAGTGTAATATGCTTAATTTATGTTTATTTTTATTACAAATATTCACACTGTAAAGAAAAATGTATTTTTCAGTTCATATCATACAAGGACTGTAGTGTAATCTCTTTATTGTGAAAGTCGAACTTACAAATGTAGAATTGCATACAAAAAACCCCAAGTTCACAAATAAACCAATGTAAAATGTTAGAGCTTACAAGTTTTCTGAGTCCTACTACTTGTTCTGCCACCAACTCTCGAAAAACAAGTTTGGTTACAATTTGCAGGAGATAATGCAGCCTACTTTCTGTTTACAATCTCACATTCACAGCACTGTTGGAGCTGGTGTTGTAAGATATTTATGTGCCAGATGCATTAAAGTTTCGTATGTCCATTCATGCTTCTGCCACCATTCCAGAGGACATGGATCTATGATGGTGATAGGTTCTTAATAATAATAATCCAAAGTAGTGTGGACTGATACATGTTTGTTTTCATCATTTGATTCAGATGCCACCAACAGAAGGTTCATTTTCTTTTTTGGTGGTTCAGGTTCTGTAATTTCAACATCAGAGTGTTGTTTTTGAAGACATCTGAAAGCATGCTCCACACACTGACCCTCTTAGATTTTGGACAGCACTTCAAATTCTTAAATCTTGGTTAAATGCTGTAACTATCTTTAGAAGTCTCACAGTGGTACCTTCTTTGTTTTTTTGTCACATCTGTTGAGGATTCATTCTTAAACGTGTGCTGGGTCGTCATTTGAGACTTCTATGACATGAAGTATATGGTAGAATGTGGTAAAATAGAGCAGGAGAAATACAATTCTCCCTGAAGGAGTTCAGTCAAAAATTTAATTAATGCATTATTTTTGTAAAGAGCATTGTCAGCATGGACGCATGTCTTCTGGAATGATGTCTGAACGAAGAAGGGCAGATGAATGTTTAGCATATCTGGCAATAAATACCTTGCAATGCTGGCTACAAAATGCCATATGAACAGCTATTCTAACTTTCTAGTGACATTGCAAATAAGAAGCCAGCAGCAGTGCATCCCATCAATGTAAACACACTTGAACTTATCTTATCTTAACAATTGGCAGTAAGAGAAGTAAGACTGAGTAGACATATAGACTCTACAGTTTTACATTTTTTTTAGTGCAGTTATGTAATAAAAAAATCTAAATTTGTAAGTTAAACTTTCATGGTAAAGAGGTTGTACTTCAGTATTTGAATGGGGCGTATTGAAAATACTATTTCTTTTGTTAATAGTTTTTTACAATGCATATATTTGTAATAAAAAATATAATATAAGGTGAACACTGTACACTTTGTATTCTGTGTTGTAATCGAAATCAATATTAAAAATATAGACAATCATCCACAAATGATTCTATTGTTTAATAGTGTGATTAATGTTGATTATTTTTAATCATGATAAATGATTTTGAGTTAATTGCATGAGTTAACGACAAGTAATCAACCACTCTATTAATCATCTATCTGATTATTTATACTAAACTAAGTTGCTTGTTTTGTCTTTATATTCTTAGGGTACTTCCATATTGTGGCGGTATTTCGGGATACTTCTGGTATCCCAAAATAGCTATTCCGCGTCTTGACAACACACCCGTTTTTTCGAAATTCTCTTTTGAAATAAGAACACTGACGATCTAATGTAAGATTGTCAGTGTTCTTGCGCAAATACTATGCCGCTCCCATTTGGGAAAAAGTCCTCTTGTGCAAAAGTACTTAAATGTATTTGTGCTAGAGGGCCAGTGTAGACAGCTTAAAACTGTTTTCCGCAAAAAAGCCCCGATGGCGAAAATGGCGATCGGGGCTTTCTTGCACAAAACCTCGTCTAGATTGGCAAGGACGCTTTTCAGCAAAAAGTGCTTTTGCGCAAAAGCGTCCGTGCCAATCTAGACGCTCTTTTCCGCAAATGCTTTTAACAGAAAAACTTTTCCGTTAAAAGCATTTGCGGAAAATCATGCCAGTCTAGACGTAGCTTAGGTGTTTTCCATCTCTGACTTATATGGTTCTATTTTATTATTACCATGTCTTAAGGTTAAGATTCGATTGTTATCCTTGCCATGTCATCTAACTGTAATTACACGGAAGCAAACAGTCCCGAGGGACTCTTTCTACATTATCATCCTATATTTTAAGACATCCAAGTAAGCAGCTCTGCATGTAGCAGTGACCCCTTTACAGCTTTGAAAATGTAAAAAGCTTTCAAAGCAGGGTTTTTAAAAAGCACACAGCTGAAATGAAATTCGATAAGAACAGCTAGTCTCTTCAGTGCATCTTGCAGCTCTTCACACAATTTTCTCTCATGGGCTTGAGATTTTAAAAAAGGGTGTATCTTAGTTGTGTATAATTAATGTCAAGGAACTGTGATCCGACAATGACACAAACTATATTATTGAGAGGAGAAAGTAAAAAGGAATAATGATTGTTCAGCAGTTTACACTGGAGAATGAAGAGGAAAGTCATTTTAAATTAATGGTTTTAAGGCCTTGATGTTGCCATGCCACATTTCATAAATTTTTTCTGAGTTATATCTCCTATGACTAGGGGACTTCACAGTCACTTAGGGAATACCAAACAGTAAATTTTTCAGGAGGAAACCGTTTTTACATTTTGCTTCAGAAAGTGTTCTATGCAGGGAAAGAAGCATTTCAGCTTTTAGTATTCTACTGATCTTCTAAACAATATACAGTGAAAACTTTGTCATCCAGCACTTTGTTAACTGGAAAACTTTGTTAACTGGCATTGCAGCACAGCTAGCTGAAATCATCAGCAATGCCTCCTTCTCTCTCAGACTGCCTGGAACTGCCAACCCTTTGCTTGAGTATCTGACACATTCAATTAACTGGCATTCCCCATAAGTTCTGGATAACAAAGCTTCCACTGTACTTCTCTTCTAAATCATCTACCACCTAAACCTGTTTAATAAAAACGTGCTTCCTGCTCCCAATTAGTTATGTTTAAACTTAACTAAAGATAATGATTCAAAGGCTCATTCCACCCCAGAAAGGCAGAGTTCACCACTGTCCATCCCTGTGCCTACATGACCTCTAAGTATAACTTCATATTGCCTGATCCTGGCCTGCATATTTATTCCTGCCTCTGGAAATTTCCACTACATGCATCTGACGAAGTGGGTCTTTGCCCACGAAAGCTTATGCTCCTACACTTCAGTTAGTCTATAAGGTGCCACAGGACTCTTCGTCGCTTTTGCAGATTCAGACTAACACGGCTACCCCTCTGAAACTTCATATTGCCTAGGATTTCGATGGCACTCTGCACAAGGGTGACTTCCACCATATGTACATGTCTGCACTGCTGTGCATCTTCCAAAATACCAGTCACTTCATGAACACAGTATCACTGAGTCAGTTTAAAACAACAGGTTTTGGGTGCTTTCAAGTATTTGGGGACAGAGTGGGGTTGGGAATGATCAATGTGCATATGTCATATATGCTTCATGTTTTGGTAGCCACAGCTT